TGTTGGTTGGTTGCTGTTGGTTGGTTGCTGTTGGTTGGTTGCTGTTGTTGTTGTTGCTGTTGTTGTTGTGTTTGAAAGGTAGGTGGGGAACATATGTTTGGTTTGGTCAGTGTGTGCTATAGTTCATGTTTAATGCTAGACGTTTGAACATGTTTTAAGGTTGATGTTTTGATCCATGAAAATCCAAATGGGCATTATTTTACCAAGAGTCTACGTTATGATCCGGCATGCGATAGGTCCGATAGGAAAGGAAACCTATATTTACGGAATTCCATGGAAAAAGACACCATAGAATAAAGGATTTGGAACCAATCCTGTCGAACACTCTCTGGACGTGGGGGTCCCTCCAGTGCGACCGTCCAATGAAGGGGGCGTCACAAAAGAAAACAAGTCATCGCCTTCATCGCATGAATTCGGGTTCTTCCCCATAAAGATTCCATCTACAGCATCTACATCGATCCACCAAGCAAGAGGATGTGCTCTCATCTTGATGGTTGTTCTGTGTTGGGCGATGATGGCACTTGAGGTCACTCCAGTCACCGACCGGCGGTGATGATGTGATGGCGGTGTTTGACGTGAGAATGTCCATGGCATGTGCCGTTGTTCGGTCCCAATCCTCAAAGCTTGGACTTCGTGAAGCAGTGCATTTGCTGAGTTTTTTGAGGTCCGTGGGGTCCTGAATTTCCTGAGAAGAAGCTGCAGTTCTGTTTCCATGTGCCAAAGATATCCAAAGATATCCTACTATAGAGGCATTCAATTTGCGTGTTGGATGTGCAGATCCACCTGGGCTCCCCCGGCTTCCTGCACCTGCACCGGCGCTTTCCACCAACGGCTCGGTCCGGTCCCCTACAGTTTGCGCCTCCAGGTGCCATCAGTGCATTGGAGTTGAAGGGCGCTTGCTTGGAGATGCTCGGTCCCGTCTACGGGCGCTGGTGGATCGGGATGGGTGGGTGCCGCAGCGGGTCGCGACGATTTGAGGATCAGGTGGGTCGCGCTGGATGCTCAGGTCCGTTTTGGAAGAGGTGTGGACTCATAGCGCGGGGGGGGCTGTTGTTCAAGAAAGAAGGGCCGAATAGGGCCGATGTGTTTGTGTGTGTGCGTGTGTTAGCCGCTAGCCAAAGAACGGTGGTGCCCCAGGGTGAGTTTTGGGATAGGTTTTTGGAATGTGTTGGACATGTTTTCCAGGTTCCGGGCTTATCAACCATTATCAACCTAAACGACCTTTGCACCTTTGGCGGCTAGCACTCCCCTTCATTCATGCTTCAACTTCTTTGGAGATTTGCTTGACTTTGCTCGGGCACAACCCAAATAAACATATTCAATATATGTTGAAATACTGTACTAAAACTACACCTGGAAACAAATGGAAGAAGACTCATAAAGACAGATCAGCACCTGCCATACCCCAAGACTCCGCCTATCACCGCCTGCCCGATTCGAGCACCACAGCACTGCCCTTCCAACGGGTTCGGACGTGGAGCCCGCTCCGCGCGGAGCGCGCTCCGCGCGCCCTGCGGCAAGGAGGAACTGGCCCTTCAACATCAGCCGTGTGAACGAGCGGCGCCTTGTTGGGGTTGAGGCTTCGGGAGGTTCTCACAGCTCGTGATCGATCGATCCATCGCTTAACACACATGGTGCCACCGGGCTCCCACGGCGCGACCATCGCGCTGCAGTCGTTCCGCCAAGGCCCCCGGAGACCTGCTTTAACGAGGCGGTGAGGCGAGCGGATGCGAGCGGATGCGGGATGCGGGACAGCTAAGCTTGCCAAATGGGTTCGAGCCTGCAAGGTTCTGGGATGTTCTGGGTTTACTCCATGAGCACCGAACATGTGACTTGAAGTGGTGGTTCTACCACTCGTTCGCCTGTCGCAGCGTGGAGTCGACCTCTGAAAACCTTGGGAGATCTCTGGATCAGCGCTTTTGGGGCCTCCACAGCCGCAGCCTTCAGATAAATCGTGGAGAATGGCATTGGGACGCCGTCCTCCCCATGCTGAGGAGCCGGGATGTATTCGGATGTGTTCCGATGATGGGCGCACTGAATGGTTTGTTGTTTTGTTCTTCGACTCCACCAACTGGTAGGGCCTGGCCCCCTTGGCCCCTGCCTTCCTTCGCCCCTGTGGGTTGCAAGACGGATGCTGATCAGATCTCACCAGGCTGGACGAGCCTACGCTACTTATAGGTCTTCATTGGACACCCAAATTGGAAGCGCAGTTGGTAGAGAGAAGTCACTCTTCTGGTGATCCGTCCGTGTCGCTGGAGCTTCTCTCTCAGTAGATCTCGCTAGATCTCACTAGCTCTTCAGAGCCAGATCAGTCGTTTGCAGAATTGGACATATTGAGGATGCCGCCTGGCAGTGCCTCGCATGCTGGGTCCGGCTTGGGGCACTACCTGTCCCTCCCCCACCGGTCACCGGTCACAGCCGGCACGCGCCGTCCGAGCTCCGCACCGTGCACGGCACTCGGCACTCGTCTCCGTGCACTCGTCTCCGCACCGGGCACCTCCGGCACGCGCCGTCCGAGCGAGGTATAAGATCGCGGAGTCCCGCAAGGTCGAAGTCCGCCTCGCCAGCATGAGGCAATGCCTGGCCGAAGGACCCGTCGGGTCCTTTCTCGCTTCTTCGAACCGCTTCTCCGTTGGTCGGGAGAGGGCGACAAAAGCGAGGGCAGTGAGGGCGGTTTGATGGTGTTCTTTTTGTGGTCCATGCGGCAGGGCGCAGGGCTGCCAGGCATGTTTTGGGCTGCCAGGCTTTGGAGGGTGGTTGTTATAAGGGAATTTGCATGAATTTTCTTTAAAAGACTATAGATAGTTCACCAAAGGTCCAGAACGTAAGATGATACTTGTTAACTTGTTACTTGTGGGATTTGGGTCTACCACCATACAGTGTGGGGTATACCAGGACTGCGTAGGCGTAGGCATGTAGACATGGTCCCAGCCCATCACACTCTCAAGCCCACAAGAAAGAGCTGAAATGACTTGAAATGACTGGTCGTGTCCAGATGGGACACCTCACCGGCACCACCGACCTGGCCAGTGGATACACCTCTCATCCATGGGCTGAACCGGCGGACCTTGGTTCAGCCCATTTCAACCCCGTTTTGGTCCAGCTCCGGTATAGGACACCCCATCGTGTTTGGCTTAAAGCTCACGGCGCAGTTCTTCAAGCCAGCACCAGGTGCGCTGGGAGTGGTTCGGGGGTGGTTCATGGTTCCTGGTTCGTGTTGCAGACCATTCATGGGACGAGTTGCATAAACGTTGCTGTATGATATGTAAGCAGCTATTCCATATACATGGATGGTGTGGGATGGTTCTCTTTGGTTCTTCTTTGCGCTGCCCAAACTACAAAGTAGTTTTCCACTAGCTGGGGTGCAGGTCGGGTGATCTTCAGACCTAACAAGTGAATAGATACACTGAATAACTCCACCAGTGAGTCAGGCCCCTCCCACCTCCCAACCCCCCCACTCTCAGCCCTACCATCTCACCCGTCCTCCGTCCTCCATCCCCCAGGCGGCGGCATCACGACGCCCGACCCGAGCGATCCGCAGTCGGCGGAGCACGGCCTGCACGCGATGCTCATCGTGGGCTACAACGATCGACAGGAGGCCCGATGGACGCGCGCCGGCGACGACGACGGGTTCCGGCCGGAGGAAGCGGGGGATTCCGGGAGCAGTTCAGCGGTTCACCGGTGGGTTGGGGGGTGGTGGGATGTGGTGGGTTGGGGTTTGGTTCGGGTCCAGGGGAGGGGGAGAGTGGGGTGTGGTTGTGATTTCCCATATCGGCCTACCCTGGCTAGAATTGGGAGGGCTTGAGCTCCTGATAAGAAAGAAATTAGTCAGAATCTGGGCGGCATTTTATCAACCATTTTGCGGGGGTATGTGGGGATGGCAGTTTGTCCACCTTTAGGGGGACCCAACCCCACCTGGTGTAGCCGAAGGGGGATGGTTGTGGGTTTACAAAAGAGTTTAACATTTCAGAGTTTGCGGGGCGAGTGCAGATCCTTGGTGGCTGTTTGAGAAGGACGTCCCGCGCTAGCCACTTGCTCGTGGATGCTCTTGGCCCCGGCCCCTCGCGGTACACCAAAACGCGTGAAGCCCACAACCATGTTGTATCGCGATTCCGCAAAGAAGTGGGTGTGTATCGAAAAAAGGGAGACCCCCTGGGTAGACTGGTCTATTTTCCGAACCTTCCAGAAGATCGAACTGGGAGGTCTCCATATTTACTGTATATATATATAATTATATATATATATATGATTTATGTTAATCACACCCAAGTTGTTTGCCAGCACCATGGTAAACACAACCTTGCCTTCTTCTTTCACAGATCAGTCAGTCGCACATCGAGCTGCACCGTTTGTTGGATGTGTTAAGACCTGGCTGCACTGTTTCCAGGTCTTCATCGTGCGGAACAGCTGGGGAACCAGCTGGGGTGATAAGGGCTATGGCTATGTGCCTTACAACTACATTTGCAATGACGACTTCAACTTCCTGGGGCACCGAGTCGAGCAGAACGACGCGACGGTGGTCGGGGCGGCGACCTGCTTCGGGTTCCGAAACGACTCACGTCTCATCAGGGCGACCACGCACGTATCAAACACGACCGGGCACGGTGAACGCACAGCAGGGGAATGAGAACTCAACAACTGAAAGGAACATAAAGGAAACAAGTGAGATCAAGTGAGTCTTGAGTGACCATTTCTTAGAAAACACCTAAGTGCTGTGCAGGGACTCCCAGATAGTTCAAGACATAGATGTCATACTTTCGTTCGAGAAACTGCCCTGCAAAGGAAACTGCCACCAGGCTTTGGTGTTTGTATGTGTTTGTGCAGCCTTCCTTATTGACTACTGTCCTGCACCCTCTCCAAGGCAGTATGCCATCATCGGCCTCACAGAATATGTGCTTTGGCGTGAAAACAGCACCGGGTCAGGCCCTGTGGAGAACAAGGGTTTCATGCCCTGTTTCTGGCTGTGTCTCTCAACAGGGTGAACTTACATTTTTGAACATGAACACCAAATTATATCAAATCATATCGATGGCTATAGTGTGTCCCATTACTAGTAACAGTTAGTAAAAGATACTAGCTGAAGGAAGATAGTCCTGATAGTCCTATCGTAGTTTTCTCCTGTTCGGCTTTTCAGTGTGAACTGGCGGCCAGGTGACCAGGTGTCACCCCGACATGGATGAACAAGAGATAACAAAAAAACACCAGCCAACGACGTGGAACTCCTTCTTGACACCTTCCACAAATGCGTTTGGATTTCAGAAGCTTGCCGCCCAGTCCAGTGCGTGCTGCCAGTGCTTTCACTCTCGACCCCAAGGACTTCTCACGGAACGTGGATGATGGAAGGGATTACAACCTGCAACCCGTCGACGAGGCGATGGTTTTCTCCGTCGCGACGCATCGAAGCGACGGTGGAGACGGTTTTTCTGGTTTGGATCGGGGGGGGTTCCGGTGTGATGGAGGGAAGGGATCCAAAGATATGGAAACCATATAGGGGGGACCTTTCAGCCCGCCTGGGTTGTTAATGGTTTTTGTTTGTTTTCCTTCTTCCAGGGAGTCTTCTTTTTAAGCGCCTCCCCCTATTTGAATGCACCCGCACATATTGAAAGGAATCTCTACTCAGGGGACATTCCCTCAGTTCCTGCTAACCTGTCAACTTGTTCCGTTTCTTGACATGTCCAAACCCAAAATGCATCGGAACTGCGAACATTTGAAGGTGACCCGGATGAACCCGACTGTGGTTTTCAGAGTGCCACCGTCCTGTGGTTTTCAGGTGGCAAGTACCAGCATCCACGGTTCAGTCCGTTCAGTCCCGTAGCCTCTCTTCAGTTTCTCCCACTCCACCGACCCGAAAGCTGCCCCAAAGATGATAGACCAAAGAAAGCAACTCCAGGGTCTTCAAAGTATCTCTCAGAATGCTTGCTACAAGTAGTGTTGGCAAGAATCTAAGATGGATAGCATGCTAGGCAGCATGAATCATCAGCCAAGCACGCATCCAATCTGAGTTTGGTGAGTTGTTCCTGATTGAGCCTTGGGTGAAGGTCCACTGGCTGGTGGCGAATCAGTCCGCCCCGCGTTTCGGAACATCTGAACAAAAGAGTTGCAAGAGAAGAAAGGTGTGTCAATGGCTTCTGAGCGTTGATGACACTTTCCCTACCTCAAGGGTTGTTTCACCCCCATGCTTTGCAGGTGTTTTTACATGCTTTTTTACAAGTCAACTAAGATCAACTTGGGTGCACCATGGCCAGCACTACACCGGTACACGGCGGGCCTGCAGGTCGAGCCGCCTGAGATTGAAAGCTACGAAGAAGAACAGGAGGACCGGATGTATTTCCTGGTTGAACCGCCGAACCGAAAGCACCAGCACCTCGCCACAGCGAGGGGTTGAAGTCGTTCACCCAAACGCTGGTGGCACTCGGTTGCACACGCCCACAGCATTTTAGCCGTAGATAATTCGTTGGCCCTTTAGACGCCTAAGCCAAACCAAATAGGTGTCTTTTTCCTTCCAAGATCGGAGAACGCTATTGCCTGGACCATCCAAGGGGTGTCAAATACCTGGTAATAAGTAGTGTAGGGTATCCATTGGGCACCCCGTCAGGATGGTCCTGGTATGTGCATGCCAATATGTGCATCAATCTCCAGCAGACATCAGCAGACCAAGTAGCAGACCATGACTCACTCCCAGCGATCCAGGATGACGTCGACGACGACTTCGACGTGGAGGACGAGTTCGATCCGCAGCAGGACGGACCAAAACTCGACGCGACGCGACGCCGCGGCGAGCGCCGCTCCGTCGGTTGCGCGAAGCGTTTGGCATGAAGAGCTTGGATGGCAAGAGGAGCACTCAAGGCCCTCAGAAAAAACTCAGGTTGCAGAGAAGCAACCAGAGCACTTTGATTCTCTGATGTCTTATTATGCCATGTCCATACCCCATCGAAGAATGCTGAAGAGCTTTTCTTCCCCCAGTGGACCTTTTAGATGCGAGATGATGCAAGGAAGCTAAACGTATCTTCAACTTGTTCAACGTTGATGCGGACGAGGGCTTGGACGGTACTGAGCTCGAGAACTGCTTCTTGTGGAACGGCGTGCCGACGCTCGGCGGTGGCGTTCGTTCCGACCGTTCGGGTTTTGGAGTGCGCGAAAGCCACGAAAAACCGGGTTTGGGTGAGGTCCTGGGGGGGGGGCGGTGTGTTCGGGGATTGAGGTGAGGAGGAAGGCAGGGCGGTATTAAACTAGTGAGAAGCAACGGCTCATGGTGGTTTGATCAGTCCTGCATTCAATTTGACAGTAAATTGTCTTCTCATTTGTTGAGCTCGGTCTTTACAATGCACAGCATATAACATAACATCGCGCCTGAGCATAATGACAATGTAACAGTATGTAAGTTGCGGGTTGAGTGGTCGGGTTTCCAACAAACGCAGCGGCTTGCACCAATGTGTTTCATAGGTACGGTCAGTGTGGTGTTTTTGACACCTTCTGAGCCTTCGTTGCCTGGCTAAGGATTTTAGACTACGTGCAACACCAGGTCAACCAGATTTCATCTTGGAAGGCTAGGGGAAAACACAGATAAACAACCTTCCCCATGGCCCATCTTCCAAATTCCCTGGCACAGTTTCGCTGGGACCAGCCGATTTTTTGTGGCTTTTCGGAGTCCATTGGAGCCGAGGGGATCGAGTAGGAAAGCACATTGTTTGGGTCGCTGGCCCACCCAGGATGAAGTCTTTTCAGCAGATCAAGGATGAGTATGGCTTGGACGAGGGAAAGAAGTTGAGCTTCGATCAGCTGCTTCGATCTGCATCACGTGTGAATTTTGGGAGGCGTCAACTTGTGAGCCCAAAAGCCCCGCATTGAAAGAGCCTTCAAGCATCTTCAAGCCCCTTTTGCTAGGAGTGTCCATCGCTGATCGCTTTCCGAATCCGTGGGTGAGTCGGCAATGTTGAGGGAAGGCTACTTCCGCGTTTGATCGAGCCAATGATTATGCCTCTCCCAGAGTCGAACCGTACCATTGCCGTTGGAACTTGCATTTGTAAATGATACAAACATATACAAGCATTCCATTGCTTGTAGGAAGTGCTACATCCCCCAGCAAATGCACATAATCAAAATCATAGACAGGATCCCTACTACTACTACTACCACTACCACTACCACTACCACTACCACCACTACTACTACCACTACTACTACTACTACTACTACTACTACTACTGTTACACTACTACAGTTGCACTATTGCTGTTGGTACTGCTGCTGCTGCTGCTACTACCTCCACCACCACTACCCATGCGGGTGATGGAAATCAGGAAAAAATCTGGATTCTTCTAAACCCAGCAGGCCTGAGTCTCCCGTTCCCGTTTTGAGCTCCCGCAAAGCCGTGCAAGCTGCACATGTTTGGGAGATGGGTGAAGTTGTCAGGCTCCGTACCCTTCACGTTCCACGATTTGAAGATTCCAGCTTCAGAATCTCGAGAGCTCAGGTTTTCCCTGACTCCTAGACTACATGTTACAGTGTAAATGTTGTGAGAGCTTTACTAGCAGCAGTCATTTGCCCATACTTTTTAGCTCAGGTTCTGGGAAATCTACACCTATTATCAGGCGCTGACTTCCCATGAGGGACGCTGGATAGGATGCGGGGGTGGAAGCCACACTGGGCACTGGAGTTGAACATTGACGTTTTGCAGTCGTCGGGTATGGGCCAGTCCAACGATCGACATCGTTGACATTCAGGAATCCTTAGTTCATTCACCACGGCTTCTTGGGCACACATTGCATGTTTGGTTGCCTAAGGTAAAAACCGCAAAACCCCTCTTGGACTCTTGGCACAAAGACATTGAAACAAGAAAAAACCAAACAAAAAAAAAACAACACCAATCTTTCGAAACTCTTTGGGGGAGGGGCAGAAACCCCTTGAAGTTCTATAGGAATCCACTCTGCCCCGGTCCGGAAAAACCCACTGCCGCCGTTCTCCGCGTCGTGAAGAACGTGACCGAACCTTGCGAGGCGCACAAGGCGCCCCGAAGCGGCTGCTTCTGCTGGGCCGGGTCCTCAGAGACGAGGTTGGTGGGTCTAAAGGGATGGAGGACGTGGGGAGTCTGGAGGGTATAGGCCCTATAGGCATGGTATAGGCTCGGTATGGTAGGACTGGTATGGCCATCTCATGGTTTTTTTTATTTGAGGACTTAATGATTTGTACACCTTTTTTTGTGCACTACTACTGATCATGGCCTTTCTCGAGGAATTGATATGCATAGCTTATTTTCCCATCCTTTGCTTCTGGATTTTCACCATGTTGGTATTGGATGGTATTGGCATCAGTTCGTTATTAGTTTTACAACAATGTGTGTTAGTTTGTGTTCCTTCTCATGGCCAATTGGATCAAATAACATCTGGGTGAGTGGGTGAAGTAGGATGTCAAAACCGTAGTAACTGATGAGGCCCTTGCCTTGTCAAGATTCTACAAGTTAGCCTCAGCATGTTTAGCACAAGAAGAGGAAGAAAATACGGTGTTGTTTTGACTTGTTCCGATCATTTTTAACACGTGGGTTGCAATCTCTAGCCGCCTAGCCTGCTACCACCCTGGATTTCATGCAAGTATGTTTTGTATGCTTTTGTTGTATTTGCAGATGGTTGCTTTTGCTGAAATATTAGATGTTTTTCGGGTAGTGGTGTATGAGCTTGTCCATCAACTGCATGCCTTGAATGCTTCCCTTACTGAGAGGCACTCTTTTGTCTTGACGAAGTTCTGCAATTCCTCAGTTTACTCTTTAACTGTCCCTGTTTACAGTCTCTCATACCGTTGATAGTGCGGAAGAACATAGAGAGGAAAGAGAGAGAGAGAGAGAGTGGGAGAGAGAGAGGGAGAGAGAGTTACCACCTGCTGAGTTTCTTGAAGTTCAACTACAATTTCCACACATAACATACGGTTCTAACTGAGTGAGGTCGGCTACATTTTGTTGACTGAGGATTAGTGCTCTTGGGCGCTTCCTGCTTTGCTTTCTCCGCTTCGACACGAAAGGACTGGGTGGACGTCGCTCTGGGTGGACGCGACGGTGGGAAGCAGTGGGTGGACGCTGTGGGAAGCGGATATGGTGTGGCATTTGATTGAGCCAAGAACATCTAGTAATCTAGTCTATGCAAAAACCATCAGCAACACCTGTCAGTGGATGACAGTGAGATGTAGGAGATGTTGATTCTGCATTTTGTCAGCTTACAGATCCCAGCAGTTCAGCTGACATTCCAGCTGACAGTTCTTCGACGTATCAGTGTTGATGGGACGTATTCAGGACGAACCTGCCAAGACGAACACGTCACGGCGAAGGTTTTGATGCGAAGCATGCGACAAAACGCCACTAAAGACAGGCGGGATAGTGGGTATCAAGGATGACGCACTTCGCTATCGACAGTTCACGTGTTGAACATCCAGTTGCTACACCCCCCAACTTGCCATGGCTTGCCTCATGTTCCCTCAGTGCCTGGTGCTACGATCTGCAAGAAGGACAGAAGAAGCCTGTTTGGGCTATAAACTCCCTCAAATCATCATGGAAGTGGAGTGAAAACAGTGGATTCCACCTGCACGGCCTGCGGATTCAGTGGTTTGCCCTGCGATCTCTCCGGATTCAGTTCATCTTGTCAGTCCACGTCACGTCGCTGCTGCGCATCCCCACCTGTACGGACTGGATACATGATACACTCCTTGTTGGTTTGTGGCATGGCCCGGCCCTGACCATTCTCCGACCAAACATGTGGTTTCCCTCCCTCCACTTCGACGATGTCACCTGTGGATCACTTTCGATCACGCGGACCCCTATGACTGGATGGAGAGAAGGCTCCGAAGCGTGCGCTACTCGCCGCGGGTTGGCTGCGTTCGTTGTGCGTCTTAAAGGCTTCTCTCGTCTCCCCTGGCCTGCACCACACGTAGAAGTGTCATGTACAATGAGTCATATATATGAGCCACAACATTTCTTCTGTTTGGTGTATTGGCAAACCAGATCCGACCTGACAGCGCAGGGTTCTCATGTCCTCCTCAGGAGTGCTGGGGACCGTGGCGCGCTCTCCCGCGCGCAACAGCGCGTGACCACGAGCCAAGAAGATGTGTGGAGCTAGATGCTTTAGTGTGCATACTGCTGAGTGGTTTTGGTAGATGCAGAACTTTCGTTGCATTTTTTTGTCATGGTCATACACGAAGGGGTAGCTTTGATATGTTTTGATTCTCATGGAGTCGGAGATCCCTAGCCTATGGGTGGAAGGGTTGAAACACCTTCCACCTTCCGATCATGCTGAGCAGCTGCTGCTGACACGGCGGCGAACGGAATCCTGTGTGGCAACCAGTGGGGCATTCCATGAGACATGAAGCATGAGACATGAAACTGTTGATCTATACAATCCCTGGAAAGGAGGGTTAATAGAGCAGGATCGATCCCTGCGATGTGGTGTAGAGGAAAATGATGGAAAATGGTCTGAGAGGCGCCTTGCCATCCACTTCCATGTTAGTTCCAGGGATATGTAGAGCTATTGGGCTATTCCTCATGTGGAGATTTTGAAACCATCCTGGAGGCAGGCCGCTTTTCTTGTGATTAATCAACCGCCATACATGAGATATAATGTACTGGAGCAAGCCTCTGGTATGCCTGTATTTACTCCATGCCCTTGTGGAGCCTTGTGTACCTTGTGTGACTCCGTTCTCGGCCTTTGACGAACCTAGAACGGAAGGAACCGAGGGCTTGGAATCGAACTGTCAGTGGGCGCCCGGTCTCTATCGGCAGTCGCCCCGCCGTGGTCGAGCACGTCACGGTCAAATGACAGAACAAAGCAAAAAAGACATGAAAATATAGCCAGTGCCCATGCCAGGTCTAAGAACAAAACCAACATTTATGATGGATTGTGGATGTGCAAGCCTCCGTTTCGGTGGCGAACGAAAGGGCTGGATCATGGAATCCATCCAAAGTGTCAGGTCCTTGGCCACATCTTTCAGCAAACTGTGAGAAGTAGATGGAAAAACACCTCCGTCCCATGCGGGATTCCGGATTTCTTGAGCTAGAAGGCTTTGTGGGAGCGATCAACGGCTGGCCGCATCGGCCAGGGCCGTGAATGGATCCCCGCTTTTTGAGTGAAAAAATGATGAACCATTGATGAAGCAAGAGGATGTGTTTTGGAAAAAGATATGAAGTTCCCGTTTTAACATGTTTTAACATGTCTTCTTAACAAAACGATGAACAAAAGCAGATCTTCAGTAGATCCAAGGCTTTGAGAGCGAGTTGGTTTTGGTGGAGCGGTTAGACGGTCTTAGGACGTTGGATTTTTGGCACCACGTGCCCCTGTTCTTGCACAGTCGCGCAATGGAGATGGTGCATGTTCTAGAGGGAAGTTTTGAAGAGACATGTCAAGAGTTACCCAAAAAGTTGCAGTTAAGAGAGCAGTCAGCTTAATTTTTGTGTTTGTGTATACGTTTGTGTGTGTGATCTTGGCGTGCAAATAAGACAGCAGTCGGAAGCAAAGTACGGTAGTTTGGCTACGGATGAGTCGAGCCAGACTGGCCGAAGAGTTGCGGGATCAGACTGGCCATTTGGTGTTTGAAATGTTGGGATGCCATGTCATGCAACAACTAGGTGATGGTTTCGGATATGTTTATGTTCAACCCTTACTTGGGGATTATGAAAACACCAACCAGACAAGTTCTTTTGGGTGACTTGGAGATGGTTCAAAGGTTCCATGATCGCTCCATTCGGAAGCTGAAAGCGCGTGCCTTTTCGGATGCCCGGCATGGATGGTCGCTCCTACGGAGATTCTTGGTGAATATATTCGAAGACCCCAAAAGCATCGCAGATCTCATCGCTAATCCAAAAAGGTGGCCGTGAACGCCCGATCAGCGGCCCCTCTTCCAGCATGCTGGCTGGGGGCCTGCAGAGCGTACGTGGACGCACGTGTGCCTGTGTGGGTGGCGATGGTTTTATGGAAACTGATTGGGTCGTTGGGTGACTGACTGCTCAGGTCAGCCATGTGAACTGATTCCCCCAAAAAATGGATCAACACTCGTGCGGCCCCGAAGGACCCCTTTTGGTGATTGACTACTGAATCATGTCCTTCTCTTTGCGCCTGGGCCATGGGCCTGGGGTAGATGCAAGACTTAAGGTTCGGTTGGTTTTTTTAAAGGATTTAGACCGCCCTAAGCATCCTTGGACCCTCCTTAGAAGGGGTCGAACCCTCTACTCATAGTGGAGGAAGTCGCAGCCACCAGTGGTGGGTATTGAAAATAGCTGGGGGGGGAGCTTAAGGGAAAGTCGAAAAGAACGTCAGGTGGTGCATGGAAAACAGGGAGACCTCAGGCTGCGTTCACAAGGGGGTTAGGTTCATAAACGTGGTTTCCAACCATTAAAAAACATATGTTTTTTGCTATGTTGTGACTTGCGTTTACATGGGGAACTCCATTTGATCAAGCTTGGAATTGGGTGAAAGGTCTTAGTTTATGTTGCGTTTACAGTGGGCGACGGTGTGGCGGTGACTTTTCAGCCTCGTGGCTGTGCAGAGTTCCATGGGGGAAGACTTGGTAACAAGAACTGGCGGTGACTACCGCCGTTGCCTGTAGGGTTTGTACCCTCAAAACCCTTGTTTTTGAGGGTGCGGATCCTTAGGGCGTTTCAGAATGTTTCAGACCGTCGTTTTGAATAACACGTGACATTGGATCGCACGGCCCTCCGATGGGTCCAGCCTAAAGCAGCTCCAAACCGGCACAGACCCAGCTGGCACCCAGCCACCACACCAACCACCGAAGCGAAGACGGTGGTAGTTGGAGCCCAATTTCTTTGGGCCTGGCCATGTTGCAGCTCTCTGGCGGTGGTTGACTCCAAAAAGAGAACCTTCAGAAACGCCCTCATTGAAAGTGGCACCTTGAAGGTTCTCCTTTTACGGGAGGGCCAATGAATGGTGCCGATCCTCGCGCATGTTTTGGGCCTTCCGCCGTCTCCAAAGCACTAGGCAGCTTGGTTTTGTTTTCCCTTGGATCTGCAACACCCCCTCAAACATGCGGCCTTCCTAACAGTCTGCGCTGCCCCCCCCCACCATACAGAAGGTCTACAAAGGCCTTGGTCGGCCTTTGTCACCATCTTTCTGCATCGTGTTCTCGTGCCCACCCTCTACTCCTACTACTCCCAACCCCCCGACCAACCCACCGAGTCACCGAGGACTTCGGCCTCAGTTCTTCGGCCGCGCAACGGCCCCCGCCGCGCAGGTGGACCGCTTCGCGAAGACCGCCGCCGTCACCGAGCGCAACTTGATCCGTCTGGAGAGGCACGGAGGGAGGGTCCACCGGGCGAACCCGGTGAGAGACTCCCGCGCGTTTGCGGGTGGTTTGTGGCTGAGTTTTGGGGAACCTGGGAAGAGAAAATAGAGGAAACATCGGAAGGGTTTGTAGTTTTCTTGGGTTGTTTTGTTTGAAGATGTTCTTTCAGATCCAACTTCCTTCGAACCAAGAAGTGTTAGTCTTATTAGATGTGTTTTTGTCGTGCAGGTCCCAGCCACGCTGCAGAAAGAGCAAAGGAAGAATTCTGGGTAAAGTGACAGGGCTCAATCTTGATTCTGCTCGACTTCACAACAGCATTTGCTTGCTAGCTTGCTACTTCGTCCGACACGTGAGGGCGCTACCACGCATTCGATGGAACACAGCTTTGCACATGGAATGGCCACCATCAAATAGTTCATTTGTTGGAGGGACGGAGCCTCACAGTTTTGTTGCAAAAGTGCGCAGGAATGCTGAAGGAAGACTAATTAATTACTTGGGTGGCAACACAGTGCCGCGGGGGCAACTTCCAGACTATAGAAGAGATTCTCAAATAGATAGATGCAACATTGCGTTCTGTTTTGCAAAGAAACGCATTTCTTCGATGTTGGGCTTACTATGAGTGCTTCAACGGAGCATGGATGCCGGTGGTTTTGACGAGCCCCCATCGGAGCAAGTGGGACATCTTCCAGGGTCCCACGTGCAGAATGACGAGGGGCGAGAGGTTGTCAGGGGACCTGGGAAGTAGGGCGCCGGTGCGGGCCGTAGGGCGCCGGTGCGGGCCGCCCACTGTTCGATGGACCGATGTGGGAGACCGGGAACCCACGTGAGGTGGACTGCCGGTTGACCCGTTTTCCATGGCACTTAGTCATCACAGCTTTGGGAGGCCCTTTCTGGACCGCCTCCCACCAAGACGACTGACGCATGATGCGTTTGGAAATGTCTGAAGGTTTTGCAATGTATGCAGAGGATCGTAGGATGATGTGGGATATGTGTGTGTGTGTTTGTGCTCTATGATCTCAAGCAGGACCATCCTTACGGGGTGCCCCATGTACTATTCTACACTACAGTACTTAAATAATCTTAAATATGGATCTCCAGACAGGATGGTCCTAGGTATATGTTAAGATATTTTACTGTAAGTCTCCTTCTTCCCACTTCCAAAATAGTCCACAGAAACATACCATTAAACATGTCTATATAAGATTCTTTGGTTCAGGCAGACTTCTCCCGTGTCCAAACTGTGAGTGACCTCCCACATGTTCTTCGCGCAAGGCGGCTCCACGGACGGGCGCAGAAGCGCATCTGTGATGAGAGCGCGTCGGTGGGGGACACCAAGACGGGCGAACGCGAACGGCTTAGACGAGCGTCGCAGTGGAGGGAGGCTGGCAGAGAGTGTGGAACTTTGATCGAGCAAACCGTTTGGGAACCAGAGATTTTATAGCTCACAAGACTTAGAGCTCAGAAGTGTTTGTGTTGTTTTAAACGCTTTTTCCAGGAAAATTGCATATTGGGATTCCTTCCTGGACCCTCCTGGCCAGGTGGGCACTTTGGTGGTAAGTCGCGGTTCACCACCTGTGCTCGGGTCGAACCTCGGAGGGTCCTGGTTTGAAGGATCAGCCGAGATCTCAGCCCCTCAGCCGATCGGCGGTCACTGTTTCACTCAGATCTGACTGTCTTGGTGACTGAGGAGAGACCAGGGGGCAACAGACTCCCCCCATCTCATGTCGGGGGCTCGCCCCATCTCTTCTCGGGGGCTGGAATGGGAGGTGAGCGAACAGCACGGGTGGTGGGGGAACAGATCTGCAAGCACACTGTCAGATGAGGTCGACCGATTCCACACAACTGTCACAGCACAAGGGACCAGGAGGTCTGGTCAGATGAGT